GGAGCCACCCGAAGGCGACAGGCGAGCGCTCTTTATTGTCTCTGGACTTTGATGGCGGGAAAAACGACGGAAATGTAATACGGTTCTTCGCCTCTCAAAGGATGTAGAATGAGTGAGTAGTCGAAGTGGAATTTCAAATTTGAAAATACCTCGTAATTCTCCTACAACACACCAAGCTCAAAAGGTACTATTTCAGTTTGGTGAAATGGGAACTTAAGAAATGGCCAGAAAATTCCTTAATGTTCACCAGAGTATACATTAATTAAATTTTTATTATACTAACCCATTGAACATAATACGTGATACAAAATAAACTGTGCAACGGGGACCTCTAAGAGTACTTTTCAATTATTTTTTTTCATTTGTTGAAATATACTTAACCATACGATTTGAACATTTACTACCATCTTCCAAAATCTGTACTTATGATCTCGCAATGTGATTCTCCTATTTTTTTCGTATTGTAATATATTCCCTAATACGTTGAATAAAATTAAATGAAAAAAATTGTGGCATCATTTTTGAAGACCAAGAACTTGTCTGCAAATTGCCAGATTCGTTTTCAATATTTTCCTGTGAAACCTTCGCTTTAGATAAAGCCATAAAGCTGACGTTTTACTGATTGTTAATCAACTTTAGGTGTATTAAAGAACCATAGAAACAAAAATTCAAGAATACAATTAATACAAAGAAACCTACATCATTTGATGGAACGTAATATCAAAATAGTCATGGCATGGGTTCCCGCGCATCAAGGGATATTAGAAAATGAAAAAGCAGACTCAGAAGCGAAAAAAGCTTATTTCCTAAGGAATCGATTGTACAAAACGACCAATTACCGTAGAAGAACAAAAAAGGGCTATAAATCAATACATCTAGCAAAAATGGAACATAATCTGGGAAACTCAACGTAAAAACTACACTTGATCCTTAACAATGTGTGGGAGAATCAACTCTTCATCAAGAACAGGAAGTTTCAATGAACACTATGTGATCAAAACTATCCGGACACGCCCAAAATGGGGTTATGGTGTGGTCGTGTATTACATGGAGGGTAGGCTTACACTCCTTGTTGTCTTGTGTGGCACTATCCCGGCACAGGACTAAGTCCCGTTTTAAACATCCTCTTGCTTTCCACTGTTGAAGAGCAATTCGGGGATGATGATTGTATTTTCAACACAATCGAGCACTTGGTCATATTGCACGGCCTGTAGCGGAGTGATTACACGTCAATAACATCCCTGTAATGGACTGGCCTCAACAGAGTCCTGTCTTGAATCTTATCAAACATCTTTAGTGATGTTTTGGAACGCCGACTTCGTGCCAGGGCTCACCACCCTACATCGATACCTCTTCAATGCAGCACTGAAGTGAAGAATCAGCACAGCTGTGAAGAATGGGCTGCCATTCTGCGAAAAACCTTTCAGCATCTCATTGAATTTATGCCTGCGAGAGTGGAAGCTGTCATCAAGGCTAAGGAGGGGGGCAACACCCTATTGAATTTCAGCATTACCGATAGACGGCGTCACGAACTGGTAAATCATTTTCAGCCACGTGTCCGGATACTTTTGATCATATAGTGTTATATTGACCAGACTAAGAATAGGACTAAAATATAAAATAACGACTGAATTTAATAAAATCATACAAATAATAGAATGAACGCTCATATGCAATAATTTGTTTATTATTTCAGTGAGTGAGTTGTATTCAATTAATTGAAAGCATTTGATATTTCGTCTTTGTAAAAACATGCGAACGTAAGGTTGTTGTAAGAGAAGCTTTTATATGGAGTTTTCTTAAGTTAAAAGTGTTTTAAATGCAAAGATTTGTGAGGGCATTTAAATGAAATGTCTACTAGTCTTCAGAAATTTGTCTTTTTTCGCAATAACATTTCAGTTGTTATGACGTGTATTACTTATTTCACGTAAGTTAGGCGGCAGTTTTTTTTTTCAAATACCTACGGCATATATCTCTTGGTAAATATAAAACATTTCCATTATATTTTCAGAAAGTGTTGGATTCTGGGTTCACAGTGAATAGTGACTTTATTAATTCTTCTCAGGAGTGTTTTGTTTCAGAATGTGTAATCTCCCTTATTTCATTAATCTTTGACATTTAACGCCGAATGACAAGAAATATTGTTTTGGGTGTTTAAATTTTCCTAATAGAGAGTGTGTAGAATTTTTGTTTACTTTTCTATAGCAACATCCCGTACCTGTTTTATTTTCGGCATACTTCCTTGCTGCTCAAAACTGTATGATATATAATACCTATTTTCAATCATATTGATTGTAATATATTGAAGTAAATAAAACGATATCTTATAATATCTTACAATATTAAATTAAACAACTTGAAATTTTCTTTATGAATTTCCAGGGACATTAAGTGTCAGCTGCCACAATTAAATTATTCAATTTCAAATTCTTTTTAGCGATCAAAAATTTTTAATTAATTTTTTCTAATTGTTAACTTTGATGGCTATTGATCCATCAAATTTCGAATCGGCTATCGAATTTCTACAAGCAAAACAAACATAACAATTATTTCTGTCTTAGTACTACTTCTATCTAAACGTAACTTGCCCTTGCTTTAATAAATTTGTGAATTTCTTCTGCCACTTATGACCTAACCTTACTTATAAAATACCTACAGCAATCTTGGCGTTGTTACTAAAGTCAGCTATTTACATCTGGAGCTCTTCTTACGTCGACACTGAAATTAGCTTATTAATTTCTACTCTTATTTGCAACCTGATTATCTCTCGAATATTACTTTCTTTTCTCCAATAAATTGCATTTTAAATTAATTCTCTATTTTCTTATTAATTGTGGGCCACGTGCTCACTTTCTATCTCAGAAAACTAAATATTTCTACATATTGCTATGACTGTCATCGATCCTTCCTCTACCATATCCGGCATTGTTCTGACCAAAATTGTTCGCTTACACTTGCTCTCTGGCCTAACCAATTCACTTGTTTCATTGCTATTCTTCATCAACGCGCTCTTGTCGTACTGCAACTTTACACCTCCAGCGTCCTTTGTCCCCTATCAACAATGTCATGTCATATTTATCTCCTTTAATTTTTTTAAATTCTTAAATTTCCCAAAATTTACTTAATCCAATTAATATTTAAATTTGCTGACACCTCATATTTTCAATGTCTCATTTTCATTTGCATCATTGCGCAATTCCATCTATTTCTCCAGCTATTTGACATTAAAGTTTAGTTAACAAATGTAAAAGCTCCACAAGGTATTTTGCCTTGCATCAATATATATATGTATGTAGTACGCGTGCAAGAGCATGTAGTGGTAACTTCGAGAGGCAGAAACACTTAAAGTAAACACTTCTGAGGCAGACGTTTATTGATCCTTCTAGCTTGGACGTTTTCAGGATATTTATTTAGATTTATTCTTTAAATAGCGTTGGGCCCTTTTTTTAACATCTGAGTAAATTGTTGAGTAACAACATTTAAAAGAGGAAAAGCTCAAATATTCCACACATTCTCACCATCTTTTCTATTGATGTGGACAAATTGAGTCATGAAATGACAGAAGAATGCTAAAACATTTTTCAATCCGAATTGATATTCTCATTAATGTTACATCAATATATAAAGTGGAAGTTTGCCAGTTTCTCTTTAAAGAGTAGACTATGTTTGAAGTTTTCTTCCGCAAAGCTTGCCCCGATAGTGAGAAGTAACCCCGTTTCATGAAACACTAATATTAATAAGTAGCATGAAGTTTGAATAAATATGAGCTATTGTTGCACATTAAGTTAACCAAGGCATTGTCGCTGGTCCTGTCGATGGGTGTCCTAGAGCCTGATAGCTCGCGCGCTGGAAATAAATCACTTCGGGTTCTTAAAGGAACCGGGATGGACAGTTATCGGATAACGTGACACTTGTAGAAGTTTGGGAAGGGCGCACAAACTTTGCCTCAGCGGGGTGCTGGGCCTCGTCGATTCCTGTCCGGACCACGCCCCACACCTTTCCCCCTTCGTTCGTACCTTGTTTGATACAGGAGCGTTGCGGCTTAATTTAAACGAATTCGAACTTTTTTCTTCTCCTAATTTTCTCGTATACATACGTACGTACGAAGGAACATCTTCGTAGTTTACGGAAAAGTTATGTAATGACGAGGAAAGAAATTGCAATGAAGACGCATGAATTTGGAGATTTCAACGAGAATGCATGTTTTGGAGTCCCCCATTAGAGATATTGCAAGAAAAAAGACTAGCATTATATTTTACCACCCATTTTATATACCAACAGACAAATTAATGAAAACAGTAGCAGCAGTTTTTGAGAGAGCGGTTTTTTAGAAATGTATAAATTTTAGACACAAGTTACGCAAAATCTCCCCGTTGTTTAAATATAATGACCTTATTAGAGAGCTCATCTTTTAGAACAGACTTTGTTTTAGGATAAAAT